AAAAAAATACTTACAAATTGTTGACACTGGAGCACACGTAAAGCTTCGAGGACAAGCTCGCAAGACATGCTTGAACACTATCCGAATCGACGCTCAAAGACGACTTTAATGCCCTTAAACCACTTTTCTCAAATACAACCAATGGAGTATAAGGAAAATCTTTAAGATGGAAAATTATTGAACTGAACTAAGAGAGAGACCTGCATAATGCATCAATTGCAGTGTTTCTCAAAGAATCCAGTGCCGACTTTCTCTTTGCAGTATTCTCCTCTTGTCGCCGTTCTTCACCACGCTTTTCACCTGACTGAAGTCCGCACTTTGCGATAGTTCTCAAAGAATGAAGACTAATCTGATCGAAACAGAAAACATACCGTTTCCGATGAAAGTTTTGTAAGGATAGGTGCTGGTTCGAGAAGAAATCGAGAAAGAATGGGGACAACAGTAGCTGTTGCGACCGAAGGAAATTTCTCAGCTAATCCTATGATAAGATTACGTTCAATTTCAGTTCCATCGCTGGTTTGAGAAAAACAAAAAGGCAATTACCGCCAAGTGATGTAAGGGCTTTGAGAGCAAGCGGCAGCTGCGACAGTTGTACTCGGTTGGTGTTAATGGAAAACAACCGCCCTGACATTCTTGAGCAGACCGCATCAGAATCTAAAAAGATGTTCCATAATTGACACTATTTCAGTCTTAACAAACCGATATCATCGATGGCTGCCCAAACTATCAATTCTAAGCCACAAGCCATGGCCAGAATCGAGATGCCTTGCCGTGGCAATTCCAAATCCAGTGGTCGACGGGGACCAGCAGGGGTCATACGCCGCTCCCCCAAAAGCGAAAGCCGCTGGGATTCCAGCGAGTTCAAAAGATCGACGACGAAAGCATTCATCTAGAATTTGGCACTATATGTATATGAATCAAAAACTGTAGGATGGCACAATAACCTCCTTGGCAAAGTTCTCCTTGATAGGTGAGTCCTTAGCGAGCACAGAGAACGGTCGCAGAACTTCTCGCAGCATCAGCAAACACGCCAAAGTGATTGTTTCACTGATGGTTTTGTAAGGAAACCGCTTGATGAAAGCACCCTTAATCAAATGTAATCAACCAATTCCAAGACACATATGAAACCAAAACTCCAAAAATCAGTTGGTTTAGACAGCGAGGATGAAGATGGTCAATATTATAGTTGGAATCAAATTCGAAATATTTGACTATTCGAAAAGTGGAATATTCCAGGAAGCCCGATTATTCGATTATTCGAATAGTCGAATAAAT